GGTTTGGATTCCTCAGGATTAATGTGTGTGTGTGTGTGTGTGTGTGTGTGTGTGTGTGTGTGTGTGTGTGTGTGTGTGTGTGTGTGTGTGTGTGTGTGTATTCTATTTAAGGAAAAGGCCCTTTGTGTCCTGTGATGTGCTGGACTTATCATTTCTTGGATTTGGAGTTTAAACCACAGTGTGTTTGAAGTTGTGTGTTTGTGTGTGGCTCGGCGCAAGCACTTGTGAGTATGTATGTGTGTGTGTGAGCATGCATGCCCCTGAGCCTGGGTGTGTGTCTAAGCCAAAGCACGTACAAGCGTGTCAACTTGTGTAACTGTGGATGTCCTTTCAAAGGGCCTTCACAGATCTGTCCGGGGCCCTTTGATCAGGCCTTCTATGACTCGCCTGCTCTCGACGGGCTGCGTGCTGGGTGGGAGACAAGGCTTTTTGGACATGGATGAGACTGGATTTAACCCACACATTTATACGCACACACAAACCTAAGCATCAACGCATAAAACCACATATTGAAGAATTTAGATAATGGCTTACTGACATTTACAATAGTGGCGAATCACTCAAATGTGATAAAGTATGTTTTAAAAAGACGCAGTGAACATAATATGCAACGATGCAGATGTGTGTGTAAGATTGTGTGTGTGCATGCCTTTGTATAAGTCAAAGTGTTATCACGAAGTTAGAAAGTAATACAAATAATACGCATCTCTAAAGGATTCGTTTTGAGTTGGTTAGTAGCTGCAATTTCAATTGTGTCATCCTACCAAGTATTGTAATACTGCATTGTTGATATAGTCATTTGCATTGGTCTATATTGAAAGCAGCAGCTGCAGAGTAAATCTACCGATTCATGTTTACTTGAAAAAAGATTTGCTTTGATATCCCATGTTTGTGTCTCCTGCTGATTAAGTGTGTGCCTTGTAGCTTTTGAGAGGACATCAGTTTGGATTGAGATGGATCTCAGGTAGGGTCTAATACTGAGTGGCATCACCGCACCACACGGACATACTGTAGACCTGACACTGAATTGATCTGACAATAGAATGGATCAGTGTTGCCGCTAGTAAGTCAGAAGGTAGAGCATAATCCCCTCTGTCAAGTCTCTGTCTCGTCAATATTCAAATCCAGCCGGCTGTCCAATGGCTGTCAGTTACAATCTCCCTCTGGCTCATGGCCTAGCACAGGCACATATCCAAATTGAATTGGAAGTTTGGCTTCTCAATGGAAATCGAGTCTAAAAGATGACCCTCCTGCCCTATATTGTTGACTTGTCAGTTGCCCCAACTGGACTATATTCTAATGTACAATATCTATACTCAATTTTTCCCTTTTTTGTGTTTCCCTAAGTGGCTTTTCATTTTGCTTTTAGTTTTTGTATAGCCGTTGTCTAGCTCTGATTTTTTTTCACTTGAATGTCAGAGGTGATTTCAAGGAACCATGTAGATTGAGATAAAATATTTGGACAGGTTGTCTCGCAAATTGTGACTTTGCTTTCTGATGAATTTAGCCCCAAAATGGCTCCTGACTATGTCTTTGTGCTCTCTCCTGTAATGACGTATTCCCATACATTCTGCCTCTTTGTAACACACAAGGCCATGTGTTGTAAGCGTGAAATAAGATAGTATGGACTTCTGCTAAATTATATATCCTTCCACCAATCCCCCTTTCCCCTTTTTTTACACATCACCTGAAATCAGAAAGAAGGAGCTGCTTGAATTCTGAAAAGTTGTTGTGGTCAGGCTGAAGAGGTTTATCTATTGCATGCTTTCTCTGGGGAGGACTGCTCACTCTGAGCTGTCTAGAATGTAGTTGTTTCATAAATCGCAAGTCTTGATACATTGATGCACGTCTCTTTTTTCAGAGACGTAGGGTGAATGTGAGTGTCTTGGTTAGTGCGCGATTCTCTTGTCAGTTATGAACCCATTCTGTGATGTGGACTGCTGAGAAAAGTTCATTCTTTACAGAGAAACTAATTCATGTTTTTGTATATTTCCAGGTGTTTACCCCAAATGAGTGGCTTGAAGATGTGTAGACATGTCAAATAATGTTCTTTCACTCAAAGTTACCTGACTACAGATCTAAAACAGAAAGTGGTTCTCACTAGGGTGAAAATGATGGGGGACATTTAACCATAGCCTCTCTTTCTCTCTGAATCTCTCTCTCTTGTTCAGTCCCTCTCCTCCTACTACTGTGACACATGTCGCCCTGGCTTGCATGGAAAGGCCTGACCTTTGGAAAGTTTAGCACTTTAAATATTTAGGCTTGGGTTATGATGGATCCTCCAGGCCCCGCGGCAATGTGCGAAGCCTCTGATTAGGGCTGCTGTCAGAGTCATTTAGCCGAGTGTCTGGCTGTCGGTGGCGCTCTCTGTTTGACAGGCGAGCCTTTTAAACAAACAGCGGTCCCAGTGGCAGAGCAGGCAGGGCACCCAGCGCAGCACAAACACCCAACACTCTGAGAGAAACCACTCAGCCCACTGACAGCTGCAGAGGAAACCACTGGCCACTGTCTCTCATGATCTTCCAGGCACTTTGTTGCTTTCTTTCACACAGTCTATACTTGTACCTCTGCCTGTTTTCATTTTGTCTCTGTTCCTTTTTGCTCCTCTCTGTCGATATGTTTTCTTCATCAGAGTTTACACCTGGTCTTTGTTATGCTCCGTCTCTGCAAGCTGCTGAAATCAAACATTAAAGTTTCATCTGTGGTGTGTGTTGAGTAAGATTTAGTAAAGTAGGTGATTGCCAGATCATCTCTGAGCAGGGCTTATGCTCTTAATTTGTCAAACATCCCTACTTATTATCGGCTGAAAATCAGGATGGATGCTCGCTGCCTTGTGTCTGCATCGTCCCGTGATTAGGACAGCTTACATTGATGTTCATGTTGAAATACATCTGAGCCAGCCTTTTCATCTCATTCTGAGACAATCTCCCGTGGCATCAATCCTGTAAATATATGAGTCTTAATATGTGTGTCCTATTCTGTATTCAGAGGAAGAGCCAAGTCAGCAGCTCCAGTATTAATGCATGAGAAATGAGTAGAGCCCATAAGAATTAAAGGGTAAGACTCCCCTTATTAAGATGTAAATTCTGAGGAAAACTTGCAGAAATGAGGATACAGGGAAGTTATTGTCAACTTTAGCCTACTTATGCATTTCTAAGAGGCATTGTTATACACACAGCAAAGCACCTTGTGTATTTTTTTGGCTCATTTTCAGCACGAGATCAACCAATCTCAACGAATATGTAACCTATACTTTACGGAACAATTCACACTTTTGGCAACATTATCTAGTGACAATATACATGGCAACTATCGTGGTAATTCAATCTCTGTCTGTGTGTGCTCCCTCTTCTTTTTCTCCCTCTCTACCTCTTTCTCATTTCAAATTTGCACTTAACACCTTCCTGGGGAAAGGCTTCTCATTCATCAACGGTGTTTGTCCCGGTGACAAGCAGGGCGCCTCCTGCATATCAATATCAGCTAAGACAATGCTGAGCCTGTAACCTTCAGCTAAATGTCATTCTGCTTAATCCTATTTGAAAATTAAACATTGAAAAACCTTTAGCGTACCTTCCTGTCTTCCTTCCTCTCTCGCTCCCTCCTTTATTGGCCGTTCCTATAGCTGTCTGCTCTCCCTCACCCCCTTCCTGCTCGAGTTTCGCAAACTGTGTGACATTTGTATTGTATTGTTTGTTTGAGTGTTTGTATCCCATAATGGTTATTTAGAAGAACTGATTTTAATTTTATGTCACTGATAAAATAATATAGGGGCAATTTGTCTGCCCCTTGTAGTCATCTACATGAATCCTCTACGCAGAGACAGCCATCATCAAAGAGGCAGACTTAACTACTTCTCCCTTTGTTCTACTCACTCTGTGATGGATGTAAAAAAGAAAAAGAAATCCAGAAATGTGTGACCAAAGTTGTTTGTTGAGGGAGAACAGAGTCAAATGAGAGGAAACCTCTTTGTCAAAGCAGCATATTTACCAAAACAGATCCTCCCCTTACAGATGGTAATTACTGCACTGACAGTGGTTAGCAAGCAGAGGAAGAAGATGTCTAATTTATCCACATACACACTGTAGCAGAGGCTGAAACTTCATCAGACTTCTCTGCATTAAGAGGCCGCCTTCTTAGTATGCATTAAACACATTTTTGATATATTTGGTGTTTTTTCTTCTTACACAGATTTACAACGCACACACAGCATATCTATATGGTACATGTTTGAAGATACTGTGAGGAATCTGAGGGGAGGGAGAGGAGGGAAGGCAGGATAAAAGGAGACGTGGAGATTGCAATGAAAATGCAATCATTTTCAGTCGGACAGATATAATTCTCCTTTGGAGAGGGTGTGATGCGGCAGCTCAAAGACAGCCTTCAGCCAGCTCTCTATATGGGTTTGATTGACCACAGTTGCTCGTCAAGAGATGCCATTGAAATACCCAGAGTCAATTGCAACGTGCCTACCCATGGATTATCATATTGAAGCCCTTCATTCACTCTGGAGCTCGAAGAATTATAAATGATTATGGAAAGACACACTGTAAAAAGTGTTTAAACACGATTGAGAAGCATCCACATGTGAGGAGTAATTTCTTCCATGGTGAAAATGTGTCACCCAGACAGGGTTGATATGAAGTTCAACAGTTGTTATACCAGGACTGAACCGCAGTTACCTTCAAATTTACAGAAAGGGGGAAAACACCGAGAATTACGGAGAGCCAAACTATTTTGGTTCCATTTTGTTCTGTTTCAATGTCGTCTAAAACCCATAATAACAATGTGTATGTATGTTTGCTTTGTGTGAGTCCAAAAGTCTGATAATGATTATGATTATTTTATCACATAAAAGATGAAATAAACTCCCATGTAAGAAGTTAAATGTGGCTTATCAAGCATAGGGAGTTTGTCTGTGGTGTGTGTGAGAGTTATTATTTGGTCTAACAGACTTGGAATTAAAACGACTTACATTGGTTGTGTCTCTCTATGCTTTCCAGATGGGAGATGCAGAAGGATGCAGAGCTGGAAGACGGAGAGAAATGTATTGTAGAGGAACTTCAGAAAGCCTATTTTGTTTGCTGCTGCAGCCCAGGGACGCAGGACTGTCCCGGAGCTGATGAGACACTCGCAGAGCAGACCCAGGGGGAAACACAACAATCTGATAAAAGTGCTGCCCAATAACACTGCATGCAGTTGGATTTTTTTTTATCACGTTGTAAATGTTTTCTTGTAATACTAAGTTGCAGCTCTCAAGGTAGTATAATCTGTGTGTGTGTGTGTGTGTGTGTGTGTGTGTGTGTGTGTGTGTGTGTGTGTGTGTGTGTGTGTGTGTGTGTGTGTGTGTGTGTGTTTGCATTTGTGTGTGCACTGTGCGCAGCAAGTTTGAATATGTGTGTGCAGGAAAATACGAGTGAGAGAGCGGACAAGAAACTGTGGAACAACCAAAAGTCTGAGGCAGACGTTGGCTCCCTCTTTATGCACACGTCTCAGACAAACTCTCTGAGCTTTTCTGTGCTGCTTCAGACATTTCATCTTTTTGGAGCACACCTCCATAAATCAGTTCTGGGAAATAGAGAGCCTGGATTTGTTTGCCTGGGACAAGATGGGACTGTGTGATCACTGTTGGTAGTTGAAGTTTTTAGTTTTTTTGCGAGACAGTGAGTGTAAAGACATTGGTGTCAGCATACTTTCTCCTGCTTCCTAAAAGCAAACATCAAATATTAAAGTGTGGAAGCAAGATGATGTATGTTTTGATTACAGCGTGTCCCAAAAATCTGTCCCACAATGTAATATCAGTCAGTATTTTGTGAAAACTGTGAAAACATTTATTTTATGTGTTATAAGATGGCTTAGTATACTTTTCCAGATTTGTCCATATTTTGTAATTTATGAGTTGGAGAATGTTTTAGAATTAAACATGAAAATAAAATCATATTCTTACTTATACCATTGAACAAACTTCAGTCATCGATCAATCTGTGTGATCTCTGTGCAGTCAATAATGTATGATAATTTATTACTATGTAGTAAGCATTCTTAAATACTCGTGGTATATCTGATGTTCAGATGAGGATTAAACCACCCAAATGATACTCTTTTCATTAAAAAGAATATCATTTCAACTCACATAGGCTACTGCACACCCTGTGCAATTCCTTCGAGAGAGCTGTAAAAGGATTCCTGCTCCAAAGAGAGTTGTTCCTTCCTTTAACTAGATAAGATTAATGCAAATGTAGCAAGATTGCAATCGGAAAACCACTTAGAGAATACAAAAGACAACAAAATGGTTAGCAAGCAAATTCTGCCTATGCATCTTAACAAAGGCTAAAAGGCAGCAAAGCATGATGAGTCGTTGTACATGTATTGTATTTGATATAACAATTAAACCTTGTTTGTGTTGCAGTAAAAATAGTTTTTAACTAGCCAAACTGTTATTGTAAGATAACTGTTTTCTGTCAAAGAAATGCTTTGATCTCTTTCTTTTCATCCCTCGCCATCCCTCCTAAGTAAGCACCTGTAAGGTTATCCTTTTGTATTTCCATTGGGTGAGGTTTAGAAGACAGCTGTCAGAAAAGCTGAAGGTATAATTCACAACAAATCCTTACAAAGAATGATTCATCACAAAGAATAAACGGAATATTCTATTATACAGTTTTCATTTGGGGATTATCAAAGCTACATAAACATTTTAGAGCTCATCATGACATATGCATGCAGGATAAACAGCCGCAGCATTTGGACTCCTCTGATTTCCATTTCAATTGATTACCCACAGTATATTAGTCCATTATGCACAGCAAACTATCACAGAAGACACATGTTGGTTTTATTTCTATGTTCATCCATTGAGTACAACAAGCTCTGTGTCAGCATCCTGGGATCCAAAGCAGTAGCATAACAGGAGGAAAATCCTCCTGCTGCAGCACCGTGGTTTCACTTTATCAATCAGGTGCTTATTCTTTATTATTTTAAGTTACAAACAAGTCATAGTGCATTTTTCTCCATATTTAATGTCGATTCCAAATACACTGGCTAAGCAATTCTAAAAACATTACAGAGCAAAAGAGCACTGAGCTCCACCAAGACCATGTTCCAATGTTACACCGTGTTTTATGAAAAATCAAGCCACTAGGTTTCATAAATTCATGCTGACATACAGACAAACACTAAAAGACAAACATGCAAACCTATATATATACCCTACCATCTGGAAGTGTCGCACATTCACACAATTGCTGAGGGCCGACCAAGACTCAAGGACTTTATTTGGATTTACAATAATTGATAACCTTCCCAAACCCTAAGTAGAAGAATATGTCCAAGTTTAAATCTCAGATCATCACCTCTCCTCCTCTCTTTTGTAGCATTGAGTATAGATTAAGAGAAAAGGATCTCTTTTATCATGTCAATCTCAGTGGATTCTAATGCCACATCTCGTTTCTTATTTGGGTCTCCCCTCGCAGCATAGTGCTCTGCTTGAGGAAACAGGGTAGCTCAGCTCCCTTGATAAACAGTTTCAACTTCTAGAGGACGTCCACAAGTAGGTCATACAGCATACATTAAAACAGGAGGCTATTTCTGTTGATTAAAAAACACATCAACAAGAAGAGTTGCAGGTACATTACACAGGAGAGTAGGGTATGGCAGGTGTTCTTTGGTACATTTAGGTCACCTGTGGCACACTATCAGTGATTCTAACCGGTCTCTTAACCATTTAAAACAATGAAAAAATGCTATCCCCTTGAACGTTCTTGATCTGATGGATTTCACTTGGGCAGTTCTGTGGGAACAGTCCTGAAAATGTTCACAACAACAGCTTCCTCCAAGATAATCTGATGTGCTAAAGGTTGACAGTTTGATTTAATCATTATCCTCTTTTATTATTATTTTAAACATAAAAAGTTTGATATGTTTCTAATTGTTATGTAAGTAAAATCAAATACGTTTTATTGGCAATGCCTAACATATGTTTGAGTGGTGTGGCTACATTGGTTAAATACAGGCGTTTAGCTCCCTATTTCTGCTGCAAAAGCTCTTGTTTGCAAAGGATTTGCACAAGTGAATGTGTTAACTTTTTTGTAAGATTAAATACATAAATGAAAACATTTGAGGGAAACTATCAATATAGTACAGTAGGTTTCCTATTACGCATGATAAAGGAATATTATAGTATGGGGGAGTGTGATCTCCAATGCATATGAAATAAAATAAATGTTATTTGCAAATAAATGAAATACCTTTCTGAAATGCATTTGAGTATAAATATAAAATTAAACTAAATGAAAAGTAAAATAACCTGTAGTGAAGTAGATTTAAGTTAAAACATCTGTATAAACGATAAGTATACAACAGAGCAGCAGCTGTGCTACTGTCTCTTTAAAAATCCCTTCCAGTCCGTTGCCCCGGTAACCCGAAACTTTAAGGGTTGTACAAGGCCGATTTAACATAGTGTCCTTTATCCCAAGACGTACACCCCCCACTCGTTTATCTAAAAGACTTCTCACATGATGCAAGCTCTCCTCGGAACTAATGACCATTCATTGCGAAGTGCTACATACCCTTTTTAATATGACCCATAGTATCAGTGTCATTGATATACCGTGTGTGTGTACAGCCGTCTCCTAACTGAAGAAAAATCGTATAAACCTGGATAAGTCAAAAAGACGGTTCAAACTCTCACGGTAACACCCCGTAAGTGTTAAAATTCACGGGGTTAAAAATATTAATTATGTCCACCATGGATGACATATGATCTTGAGTCCTAAAGTTTATCCGCTATGTGAAAAAAATGATGTACCGACCTATAGAAGTCAGTGTACTGAATGCAAACATACACACTAGTATCGATTAAAGTTAGTGTACAACCAACCCGCGACAGTACAGTTCATTCTTTTCAGTGTGTTTTGAAAGAGATTTCACACAAGTTAGTAATATACAGAAACAATAACCTATTTGAGCGAAAAGTCTCGAAACTTTGTCACTTCCTGTTCATTCGACTGTAATTTATGTAATATTTGAACGTTTACAACTATATACTCATTCAGTGCACCCAATAGTATTTTTGGACAAAACACCTGCCGTGGAAAAAGAAGAGCAGTGTCATATCAGGGGCAAACATCAACAAATTCTCCTTGCGGAGGTACAAGTAAAAAGTGTTGGCTGACAGTCACAAAGGAAAATACGTCATCAAAAGAGAGACGGAGACCGGTCGTCGATAGACCCGTAACGCTAGGTGGTGTATACTATGTCCTGACGCACCGTCGTCTCTACACTCTCAGAACTTCAGGAGAAGGGGGTTACTAGTGACGTCTACAGTTGGACACGTTCGTCAAACCTATTTTTCTCTGTTTTTTCCCTGAACCTTGGGCAACATCGTTACGTGACTCCCGTAGGCATTAGGCATGTACCGGGCCATGGACCAGTTATACTCAGGGAAGAACAAAAGTTTGTACGGAATTTACATTCCACGACATTTCAACAAAGTGGACTTCCACCGAAAAACGGTCTTGTCATTGTGACACTATGATGGTGAGACATGTTCGAGTTTCACCATCGATTGCTAACTTTGCCACCCACAATTAGTTTGGGACGGTTTGGGTGACGTTTCGTTTGTTGGCGATTGATGTTGATAAACACGTTGCATAACGATTGTTGTTCGTCGCCAATCGCGCCATAAGTGTGTTGATCGTGGACTTCTTAGGATGCAATCGTGAATTCAATGAGACGAAACTTTGGGTACGAAATTCTGTCACTGTTTGCAGAAAATGAGAATGGAGCTGATGGGACAGATATAAGAGTTGTTGTAAGTTTGTGTCATACAAATTACAAAGCGGTGAGAAATGTCTGAGCGCTTTACAAACGAGCAGCCGAAGAGCACCTCGTGAAGCTCGTACAATGTTCCCTGTAAGCACGGAAAATAAAGTGTAGCACGGTTGTTTGGTCTTCTGTAAAGCACTCCCTTGTCGACAAATTCATCTACCGTGTGACGAAAAAAAACAAAGCTGAGTGTGTGGAGGCATAACGCTGTCAGGTCAGCGCGCGTAAGGACCTGTAACAGATTTTGTCCTTCCGACGCGTTACGTCTCCCGTATGTGCANAAACATCACCATAGGTTAGAAAAATAAATCATTTATTTAACCCAGCCCACACACAAAGCATCAGACTCAAGTCACAGTCACTCACTTCCAGTATTTATATGAAATAAAATAAATGTTATTTGCAAATAATTGAAATACCTTTCTGAAGTGAATTTGAGTAGAAATATACAATTAAACAATTAAAACATCTGTATAAACGATAAGTATAAAACTGAGCAGCAGCTGTGCTACTGTCTCTTTAAAAATCCCTGCCAGTCCGTTGCCCCGGTAACCCGGAAGCGCCCGTGGAGGTTGAACCTGTAGGAAGTTGTAGGAAGTTCCAAATATGGTCAGAAGAGAGCGCGCCCAACACGCGGGAAATACAGACTTCAAGAGGAATTCAACCAACAACATAAGGATTCTATCAGCTTTTACTAACCGAGACCTTCCCGAAAATGTTGGAGAAAAGAGCTACGGAGAAGATTTTAGAGGACGACGTCGGAGGGAAAAACGGTAAGAAAATAAAACAAAAGAAACATGTTTTGTGGGTAATTTAAGCAGTCGTTTAGTTGACAAAAAGTACTAATAGCACACTGTAACAATACTCAATTAAGAATACAAGTATACTGCATCGACAATGGTACTTAAGTTAAAGTATTTATGTTAGATTAGGAACATTTACTTAAAGTATTAGGAGTACAATAAGTCACTCAAAATAATATTTTAAAGCAAAAGCAGCACATTTTCTAATTTAAGAAGCTTGAACTACGACCAAAAGCTTCAACATTGCTGAAAATGAATTCCCTGTTTACTCACTCGTGGATTTAGCTACTTAAATCTAATGTTGGATGGTTTAATCTATAGAAATTAATGTTATTTTCAAAGTGTTTCCATATATTATGTGTCAACATTTGAATTGATAAAGTAACTAGTAAATAAATAAGAGGAAAAGGTACATACTTGGCTTCCAAAATGTGGTAGAGTAAAAGTATAAAGTAGTTTACCATTTAAATACAGAAGTAAAGTACCTCAAATATGTACTAAGTTACTTTCCTGCAAAAAAGGTAGGTTCAAAGTGGACCATGTCGAGTTGAGTTTGACCTCACATGAACTCTAAATACTATTTTGACTATTAACTCATTTTAATTATACTTTTATGAGCTTTTCCCGATGTTTTCTAGACTTTAAAATTGTTCAAAATTAGATTAAATGAAGAATAATAACGATTTTTTTTCCTCCTTCAAAATCCGGATGAACGTTCTGTTTACATAGCGGTCGTTTCAATAACCATTTCCATGGTTACTGAGTTTTAAATTAACGGTTATACTTATAAAACACTCAAACACTCAAACAGCAGTTACCACACAACAAACAACTATAATCCACCTCAGTGACAAATATCTAATACTATGGCCAAATATTTGACACAAGGCCTTTGACTATGTTAGCATAGCACACATAAATAAACAGCTGTGAGCAAGGACAGAGCATCTGGGTTAAATGAAGTAAATACAAGACATGACCAAGGTGTTCTGAAAGTGGTTAACTATACAAATAGTGTTAATAAATAAATAATGACATTCACAGGATGATTATATAGTCAAAGGTATTACAAATGTCCCTTTTTGTAGCTCAAAATATTCAGTTGACTTTGACAGGAACCCAAGAATAACAGGACATTCCTCACATTTTACTGCACAAATATACTTTAATGCAGGACTTATGAGATAAGCTGTGGCGTATGAAAGGCTTTTCCTGGCACTAAAACATATTTCCTTCTTTAATATTTCCTCATACTTTTAGTGTTTGTTCAGAGTCTTTTTACTCTTTATTTCAGGTTGCAAACCATACATAACTATCTAGTTGAACCACTGACCTTCCTGAGCTTTTAACCAAACATCTCACTTACTTTATTGTCATTATGTGTCCTTTAGAAATAGCTAAATGAATACAAGTTTAGATGAAATACATCCAAACACAATGGTCAGGATGTGTCGCCTGATGTTTTAAAGGCTTACCTGTGTTTGTATTATTATGTGACTGTGTGTGTGTGTGTGTGTGTGTGTGTGTGTGTGTGTGTGTGTGTGTGTGTTAACGTTCTCTGTGTGTGTTAACGTTCTCTCTGTGTTAACGTTCTCTCTCTGTGTTAACGTTCTCTGTGTGTTAACGTTTTCTGTGTGTGTTAACGTTCTCTGTGTGTTAACGTTCTCTCTGTTTGTGTAAACGTTGTCTCTCTGTGTGTTAACGTTCTCTCTCTGTGTGTTAACGTTCTCTGTGTGTTAACGTTCTCTCTCTGTGTTAACGTTCTCTGTGTGTTAACGTTCTCTCTCTGTTTTAACGTTCTCTCTCTGTGTTAACGTTCTCTCTCTGTGTGTTAACGTTGTCTCTCTGTGTGTTAACGTTCTCTCTCTGTGTGTTAACATTCTCTGTGTATTAACGTTCTCTCTCTGTGTTAACGTTCTCTGTGTGTTAACGTTCTCTCTGTGTGTTAACATTCTCTCTGTGTGTTAACGTTCTCTCTCTGTGTGTTAACGTTCTCTCTCTGTGTTAACGTTCTCTGTGTGTGTTAACGTTCTCTGTGTGTGTTAACGTTCTCTGTGTGTGTTAACGTTCTCTGTGTGTTAACGTTCTCTCTGTGTGTGTTAACGTTCTCTGTGTGTTAACGTTATCTCTCTGTGTTAACGTTCTCTGTGTGTTAACGTTCTCTGTGTGTTAACGTTCTCTCTGTGTGTGTTAACGTTCTCTCTGTGCGTGTTAACGTTCTCTGTGTGTTAACGTTCTCTCTCTGTGTTAACGTTCTCTCTGTGTTAACGTTCTCTCTGTGTGTGTTAACGTTCTCTCTGTGTGTGTTAACGTTCTCTTCTCTCTGTGTTAACGTTCTCTCTCTGTGTGTTAACGTTCTCTCTCTGTGTTAACGTTCTCTGGTCTGTGTTAACGTTCTCTGTGTGTTAACGTTCTCTGTTTGTGTTAACGTTCTCTGTGTGTTAACGTTCTCTCTCTGTGTGTTAACGTTCTCTGTGTGTTAACGTTCTCTCTCTGTGTTAACGTTCTCTGTGTGTTAACGTTCTCTGTGTGTGTTAACGTTGTCTCTCTGTGTTAACGTTCTCTCT